AAAAAAAAAAAAAGAATGTGAGGCCCAGAAGGTTGCTCAAGGTCACCAGGCATGTAGGTGGCAGAGCTGGGACCAGGACTCAGACTGCCTAACCCTCAGCCCTAGTCCTGTCGCCACCGTCGCTGCAGGTGTGGTCACTGGGTCCACAAGTCACAGCCTGAGCTGAGGACAGACAGTGTCTGCTTCTCTGTGACTTGACATCGAAAGTGCACTTTTCCCTTCCTGCCTACCGGAGGTGATCTGTCCAGCGTGGCAGCAAGTGATAAATCATCCAATGGTTCTTTCAAGGACAGCACTGACAATGCCAGCTGTCTCTTTCTCCAAGAGTTCCGTGGGCCCTTGGAAATGCCTGGCTGCTCCGGGCAGTGAAATAATTAGGTCAGACAGCACACACCCATGAAAAGCGGAATGTTTATGTCATCCAGTGCTTGCTCACTCCTCCGAGTGAGTGGTCTCTGTCCTGGGGGCCTTGGCAGACCACAAACCAATGCACTAGCCAATAAGTACAATGGACTCCGGGGCTATCTGAGGCCCAAGGGAGCCACAAGAAGCTCACCACGACAGGGAAGGAGGAGGAGGGTCATGTGGGGTCACTACCAGCTGGAACTCAAAGTTCAAGTCCATCTAAGACCCTCAAACTTCAGTGGAAACACCTGGGAAGCTTGCAGGTAAGAGATGCTCTGAAGGCAAGCAGGATGAGACAAGGTGGGGACAAGGGAGAAGCCTACATCTGAGAGTTAGAAGATGCAGGTTTCCATGCTTCTCTGCCACTAACCATGGGTGTGGCCTCAGACTTGCTCTCTGGAGCCTCAGATTTCTCATCTCTTGGACCAGATGACCTCTGAGCTCTTCTGCAGCAATGCCATCTATGATTCTAAGACTCTCTCGGGTTCACTGGCTATTATTTCCTTCAGGCTGTGATCAATGACCTAACCACATTCCTTTCTACAGGGCGACGGCCCTCTGTCTGACAGTGTGGAAACATCCTCTCCCCACAGGCCAGGACAGCCCACCCTTGCCTACAGCCCGCTCTCCTTCCTCCCCACCCTCTACAAACCACAGCAATCCCCGGGCTGCAGCAGCTTCCCTGGGGGTCAGTGGCAAGAAGATTCCAGAAGACTGTTCTCCTCTGCTCAATACAGTTCTCTGGGGGGAAGGCTGGACGTTCTCTGGGCTGCAGAGTCTGGAGCAAAGATTCCATTCTCTGTAGGACAGGGGCTCACACCGAGCGATGGTCTTCACAGGGCTCGGAAGAGAAAGTTACCTACTGAGCTGTCATGTCATGTTTACAACATTCCTCTCAACAGGGTGACAGGCTTGAAAGCCTCCTATACTTTTGCTCCTTGCTCAGAAGAAAGATTTGTTTAGGACACTTAACAAAAACCAGGCCCCTTTTTTTTCTTAGCAGCTCAAGACACTGGGAGAAGGGCAAACTGTTCCCAACCTCTGGTGGCAGGGAGAGAATGTTCACAGCACTAACCTAGGGGGGGAAGTAAGATTTGGAATTCTGTGCCTGGGTAGTCCACAGCCTCATGAATTCCGAGTTCTTCTCCTGGAGAAAGGGCCTGGAAATTCCACCTTTCTCAGTGGGGCCGTGGGGAGCACTGGGTTAGGAGTTGGGAAACCTCTGTTAGAATATCCAATGGTTGCTAATATGTTGTCTTATCTTGGTTGTTTACTTCCTTCTTGGGGCCTCGGCTTCCAAATCCATAAAATGGGGACAATGTTCTCTAACGCCCTTCCAGCTTGAGCTACCTGGAGAGAGGTGTAGGACTGTCTGACAGAGCAGGGGTGCTGGATATGTGGGTGTGCACTCTGTCGTGTCTGACTCTCTGCGACCCCATGGACTGGAGCCCGCCAGGGTCCTCTGTCCATGGGATTCTCCAGGCAAGAATACTGGAGTGGGTTGCCATTTCCTACACCAGGGGATCTTCTCAACCCAGGGATAGAACCCGTGTCTCTTATGTCTCCTGCATTGGCAGGAGGGTTCTTTACCACTAGCACCACCTGGGAAGCAGGTGCTGGAGGGAGGAGGCAAAGCCAGAGGGACTGGAAAGGGCAAAGCCAGCCCAGGCTGGGCTCCCACGTGATGCTTTCTGTGAAGAGAGGCCAAGGAACACTCTCCCCACGCCTTACCTTGCCCCAACCGGGAGCCCGTGATGGCCTCTTTGGCACTCCCGAAGCCCAGCTCTCTGCAGACCACGCTGGCAGACACCAGGTCCCACTTGTCGTCGCAGACGGTACCCCATTCTCCATTCTTGAGCACCTCCACGCGGCCCTCCCCGACGTTGGCGCCACCTCTCAACCGCACCAGGGGTTGCTGAAGAGACACACCGTCTTGCTGAGCACAGCCTGCAGTCCTCTCCACGATGCCCCCCGTCTCCCCACTCCAAACCCAGGCGCCAGGCTAGGAGCTGACAGCGCACCGTCTGAGCGAGCGTCCGTGGAGGGGACGGGAAGCGCGCATGCTCACTGTGTGTCCAGCGCTGCTGCAGGCTCCCCTTGCAGGCTTTGTCCTGGACCACGGGCCACCCCTCAGGGACTCCCATCAACCCCTTGTCCCTGTCCATCCTTGTTCTAGGGCCTAACCACTAGGTCCTTCCCTCCATGCCCTCACTCCAGAACCTGAAGCTTCAGCACTATCGAAAGACGCTCCTACCCACAAAGTCAGCAGATTCCAAACGATCCTAATTCTATCAGACGGGTAACAGAGTGCTTGTCCAGTCCTAGGGGAGATTCCGGGGCACTAAGGTGATCACACCGCAAGAATCCTGCCCTGCAGGCCCATGAGAGGCAGGAGAAAGAAGACATAAGGTGAGAGGGCGGGGCCTGACCAAGGCAGCCAAGACTTGGAGTTCTGCCCAGACAAGGGGATGGGGCGCCTCCCACTGGTTAAGACCGACATCTGTTCCGCAGCTGGACTTCGGCCTGGTCACCACTCCTGCTTCTGCCACCCCCGACTCTACTCCAAGCCCAGACCAGGCCAGCCTTTCAGGAGACACAGCCCCGCCAGCTATTCAGAGAGAGCAGGTGCTTACAGTTTGTTGTTCAGTCACTAAGTCGCGTCCCACTATTTTGTGACCCCATGGGCTGCAGCTTGCCTAGTTCCTCTGTCCATGGGATTTCCCAGCAAGAGTACTGGAGTGGGTTGCCACTTCCTTCTCCAGGGGATCTTCCCAACCCAGGGATCAAGCTTGTGTCTCCTGCATTGGCAGGCAGATTCTTTATCACTGTGCCACCTGGGAAGCCCTGAGTCTCAGAGGCAGTGGTTTGTGTGTTTGTGTGTGTGTGTGTGTGTGTGNTTAATTGGTTTGGTATAACTTGATTCCTCTGCTTTCAACCACACAGTAAGAGGAAATCCAAAACAGTAGGACCTGGTATTCTGGATGACACATGAGGCAAGCTCAGAGGCTCAGGCTGAGGCTGTGGAAAGGGTGTGGCCATCAAATCATGTGGCTGGAGGGGAAGCGAGGGGCCGTGGGGGCTGGCACTGTCCAGGTGTGTACTTTGTGGCCTGCCTGCACACGTGAGATGTGTGGTCAGGTCCATGCAGTTTTTAGGCCTCTGTGGGGCAGGCTGAGGGTGCAGGAGGGCTGGTTGCTGGCCAGAAGTGTCTGGAAGACATCCCAAAGAGCTCCCACATCCTCTGGTCGATGCCTGGACTTGCTGCATTCATCTCACGCCTTTATTTAAGCCTTATTCTTTTGTCCAAATATACCACCCCAGCCTTTCCAAATACAGCATCCAAAGCTGTTAATCTGGTTTCTGCATCAGTTTCCTGTTTCTACTGGATAAGTACATAGGGGATCACTCCCTATCCACGAGCAGGTTGATAGATGTTGATGGAGAGGAGAGATTGGAGAGGGAGATGGGGTGGGGGGCTTCCCAGGTGGCACTAGTGCTAAAGAACCTGCCTGCCAATGCAGGAGACACAAGGGACGTAGGTTCGATCTTCAGGTCGGGAAGATCCCCTGGAGGAGGGTATGGCAACCCACTCTAGTGTTCTTGCCTGGAGAATCCTATGAACAGAGGAGCCTGGCAGGCTACGGTCCATAAGGTGGTACAGAGTCAGACACAACCAAAGTGACTTAGCACAAACGCAAGCATGCGGGCAGAGATGGGGGAGGGGACAGCAGATGCAGAGTGAGGCTGCCTCGGCTTGGGGAGCGGCTGTTACTATGCCCCCCCCCAAATACCAATTCCCAAGTTTCGTCTGGCACAGCGCATCATTCGTTAACAAATGATTAGCTCTTTTTCCCCTACTATCCCTCTACTATTCCCATTCACTGGTCCAGATTAGTAGTTTCCAGAACATGCATGTCACAGAGAACCTTTAGGGATATGTGTGAAAAGGAGAGTGGGAAAAAAGATGAGCCAACTAGTGATTTCCGAGGGAAGGGAGGATAGTGCACTTGCTCTTCTTCAGGGGGGCTTCCCGAGTAGCTCAAATGGTGGTAAAGAATCCCCCTGCAATGCAACAAGCATCTTAATCCCACTGGGTCATACCTTACAAGATAGGAGATGGGTCATTTGACTCCCATCTGCCCACATACCCTGCCTTGCATCCGTTTCTGTGTGTGTGTGTGTGTGCATGCGCACATGTGGGGATGGGTAACAGAAGGCTGCGAGGCTCTGAACGATTGCTTCTATTTGATTCAATACAAAGGGAGTGTGGGGTAACTGCAGCCCTTCTGTGTGTGTGGCATCAGGCCAGTCACGGTCCTACTTTGGCCTCTGCAGTTCACAGCCCCGGACTCCATCCCACTCAGTGACGGAGGCATCCCACTTCCATCCCACCCCGGAATGAGGCAGACCTGGTTGGTGGTGGCGTCTTGCAAACATTAACATATACCAGTCACCCTGAGCTTCCCTCGTCGCTCAGTCAGTAAAGAAGCTACCTGCAGTGCAGGAGACTGCAATACATGAGAGGCAGGTTCAATCCTTGGGTTGGTAAGATCCCCTGGAGAAGGGAATGGTAATCCCCTAGAGAAGGGAATGATAACCCCGTCCAATATTCTTGCTTGGAGAATCCCATGGACAGAGGAGCCTGGTGGGCTACAGTCTACAGGGTTGAAAGTGTCGGACATGACTGAGCAACTAAAACCACCACCACCTCTAAGAAAACCACCACCGGTCACCTTGAAAGCCAAGACATCGAACAAGAGGCTGTGTCTCCATCTTCCAGTCAAGGCCTGCACCCCAGTTTACTGACCTGGGATGACGACCCTGGCATAGAGGGAGAAGAAAAGAGGGACAGGGAGGGGCTGCAAAACCCCTCACTGGCTTCAGGAATCTTCATTCTAGCTTTAGCAGAACATGACCAATACAACTGCTGCATCCAGCCAGACGGCTGTAGAATCATGACCTTTCCCATCCCCCACTTCCCTTCCCAGGCTGCCTAGTCAGATTCCAGGGTCCCCTTCCCATGGAGTGGACTGTCCGTGACTCAAGCTTGTGGGAGGCAGAGTTCCAAGTAACCTCACCCCATCTAGCAGTGGCCAGGCAGAGTCAGCTGGCCCTGGAGGAAAAGAAAGAAGGGAAAATGTGATGTAAGCCTCACTTGATCTTTTTTTTTTTTAAATTGGTTTGGTATAACTTGATTCCTCTGCTTTCAACCACACAGTAAGAGGAAATCCAAAACAGTAGGACCTGGTATTCTGGATGACACATGAGGCAAGCTCAGAGGCTCAGGCTGAGGCTGTGGAAAGGGTGTGGCCATCAAATCATGTGGCTGGAGGGGAAGCGAGGGGCTGTGGGGGCTGGCACTGTCCAGGTGTGCCTGTGTGGCCTGCCTGCACACGTGAGATGTGTGGTCAGGTCCATGCAGTTTTTAGACCCCTGTGGGGCAGGCTGAGGGTGCGGGAGGGCTGGTTGCTGGCCAGAAGTGTCTGGAAGACATCCCAAAGAGTTCCCACATCCTCTGGTCAATGCCTGGACTTGCTGCATTCATCTCACGCCTTTATTTAAGCCTTATTCTTTTGTCCAAATATACCACCCCAGCCTTTCCAAATACAGCATCCAAAGCTGTTTATCTGGTTTCTGCATCACTTTCCTATTTCTACTGGATAAGTACATAGGGGATCACTCCCTATCCACGAGCAGGTTGATAGATGTTGATGGAGAGGAGAGATTGGAGAGGGAGATGGGGTGGGGGGCTTCCCAGGTGGCACTAGTGCTAAAGAACCTGCCTGCCAATGCAGGAGACACAAGGGACGTAGGTTCGATCCTCAGGTCAGGAAGATCCCCTGGAGGAGGGTATGGCAACCCACTCTAGTGTTCTTGCCTGGAGAATCCTATGAACAGAGGAGCCTGGCAGGCTACGGTCCATAAGGTGGTACAGAGTCAGACACAACCAAAGTGACTTAGCACAAACACAAGCATGCGGGCAGAGATGGGGGAGGGGACAGCAGATGCAGAGTGAGGCTGCCTCGGCTTGGGGAGCGGCTGTTACTATGCCCCCCCCCAAATACCAATTCCCAAGTTTCGTCTGGCACAGCGCATCATTCGTTAACAAATGATTAGCTCTTTTTCCCCTACTATCCCTCTACTATTCCCATTCACTGGTCCAGATTAGTAGTTTCCAGAACATGCATGTCACAGAGAACCTTTAGGGATATGTGCGAAAAGGAGAGTGGGAAAAAAGATGAGCCAACTAGTGATTTCCGAGGGAAGGGAGGATAGTGCACTTGCTCTTCTTCAGGGGGGCTTCCCGAGTAGCTCAAATGGTGGTAAAGAATCCCCCTGCAATGCGGGAGACCTGGGTTCGATGCCTGGGTTGGGAAGATCCCCTGGAGGAGAGCATGGCAACCCACTCCAGTATTCTTGCCTGGAGAATTCCCACAGATAGAGGAGCCTGGTGGGCTATAGTCCATGGGGTCACAAAGAGTCAGGCAATACTGAGTGACTAACATTTTCACTTTCTTTCACTTTTCTTCAGAGGAGTCATCAAGCCTGCCTTGGCCAGGACAGCTCACCGGTCCTGAGGAATCAGTCCATTGAGATGGGGATGAAAATTCAGATGTGCATCTGCACCTCTTTAATACACCTCCCCCCACATGCAGGTACTGATTCACAAACATACAGTGTGATAACAGGCACAGATAACATAGATGTGGTGATGACATGTTTCCATTTACAGGAAGTCCCCTATGTCCGAACCTTCAAGTTGTGAACTTTCAAAGATGTGAACTTGTGTTTGCATGTCCAATCATGTGAGTGAGTTCGTGTCCAGCATCCACTGTCACATGGCTGCATCCTCTACAAGTGTCGTGCTTTTCTGTACTTTACTATACAGTACTATACACTGTAGTATATATTTACATATCTATGTATGTAGTATAGCATGCAGTTGTTATTTAGTCACTAAGTCCTATCCGACTCTTGGCGACCCCATAGACTGTAGTCCACCAGGCTCCTCTGTCCATGGCATTTCCCAGGCGAGAATATTGGAGTGGGTTGCCATTTCCTTCTCCAGGGGATCTTCCTGACCCATGGATCGAACCCTTGTCTCCTGCAATGGCAGGTGGATTCTTTATCACTGAGCCACCAGGAAAGCCCATTGAATATAGCAGTACCACATTTTTATTTCAAGCCTAGGATGTCCAGAAGCAAATGTAAAAGCAGTGGTACATAACTGATTGTGTTAGTTGGGTACCTAGGCTAATTTTGCTGGACTTACGTACAAACTGGATTTTTAACGTACTCTTGGAACAAAAGTCATCCATATGTAGGGACTTACTGTACTAACTCTGTGAAAGCTTTTAAAAGTTGCTATTCTTTCTGATGCAGAATAAGTAAAACCTGTTTGAAAACCATTGTATCTGATTTCGTATGCTTCTGAGAGGTGGATCACGTTTCCAACGGCTCTGAAAGTGAGTGTTAGTCCCTCAGTCATGTCTGACTCTTTGAGACCCCATGGACTGTAGCCCGCCAGGCTCCTCTGTCCATGGAATCCTCCAGGCAAGAATACTGGAGTGGGTGGCCATTCCCTTCTCCAGGGGATCTTCCTGACCTGGGGATTGAACTCATGTCTCCTGCATTGCAGGCGAATTGTTTTCCCATCTGAGCCACCGGGGCAGCCTGCCAAGGGCTCTAGGATGCTTGATTTCTCAGGGAATCTCCCAGAAGCCCCTGGTTCTCACCGCCCCCTACCCCCAACCCTTTGTGCTGGTCCACAGACAGCACGCAGAACCTGTGGTGGTCCGTAGTGAGGCACAGCCCTCTCACGGTGTTTGTCTGCCACGGGGGCACACTAGTCTCGGAGGTGAGCAGCAGTGTCAGAAGGACAGGTAGGGGCGCTCATGACTAGGGACAGGTTCCCAGCTGCTGGTCACACCCCAGCAGTGGCATCTGTCAGTGAGGCTGGCCCTGACAAGTGTCCTGCATCTTCCTGCCCTCTAGAAAAGTGGTCCGAGTTGCTGCCGTTTCTCTTGGCAGGGGGAGTGGGGGACGGGTCCCTGTCTGATCCTTTAACCACCAGCCCACCCCTCCAGGTACCAAATCTGCCACCCTATCCTCACCTCTGGCTTGTAGGCTTTCCGGAATCTTGACGGTCCATCAGGACTGAAGACCTGGCCGGGCACACAGCTCACCACAGCCGGAAGCCCATTCTCACAGGTGACATTCTTGACGGGGTCCAGCGACACCTGAGGGCCCAACTTGCAGCTGGAGATGTGGGCCTCTGTGCCTGTGCAGTCCATGGAGTATGGCCAGTAGCGCTGCTTCTTGCGGGCAGCAAACATTCTGCGGAAGGTGAGACAGGGCAGGTGACCAAGACATCATGCTGCCCACCCCTCCATTCTTCCACAGCGGGGCAACTGACCCCTGCCCGGGGCCAGTCACTGAGGTAGTGGAACCAGATAGACATGGTCCCCGCTCCTGCAGTTCAGTCTTGCTCCAGACAGGGCTCTGCAGGGCATGTCTGCCAGCACTCACTGGTCATGCTGGGCACTGGGGAGCCAGACCTGGAAGGGCAGTCATGGCTTCCTGCTTCCAGGGAGCTCACGTTCTAGGAGACAAGGGTCTAACTCAGTGTGTATGCATGCTAAGTCGCTTCAGTCACATCTGACTCTTTGTGACCCTATGGACCATGTCCCACCAGGCTTGTCTGTCCATAGGATTCTCCAGGAAAGAACACTGCAGTGGGTTGCCATGCCCTCCTCCAGGGATCTTCCCAACCCAGGGACTGAACCCAAGTCTCTTACATCTCCTGCATTGGCAGGCAGGTTCTCTACCAATAGCGCCACCTGGGAAGCCCCTAACTCAATGTAGTGACATATGATACTAATGCCTATAGATGCAAAGTGTAAAAAGGGATCTTGGAGAGACAAATACAATGTGATATCCCTCAGCCAAAAAAAGAATGAAATAACGTCATTTGCAGCAACATGGACGGACCTCGAGATGATTATACTAAGTGAAGTAAGTCAGACAGAAAAAGACAAATATCATAGGATATCACTTATGTGTGGAATCTAAAACAAATATTACAAAATATTTACAAAACAGAAACAGACTCAACAGACATAGGAAACAGACTTGTGGTTACCAAAGCGGCGAAGGGGGGAAGCTACCCTTCCCTCTCTCCTGTCCTGGGTCTTTGAAGTCTGTGGGCTCATTGGTGATTGGCAGAATCCAGTGAGACGCACTGCTGCCGGACTGCCCAGAAGAGGGGCTGCCCAGGGCAAGTTGGCCCCAGATGAACAGAAGTGGAGTCCTGTCCCTACTGGTCTAGCAGGCCTGGAAGTTTATGCTTTGCCTCAGAGTGAATGGGATGTGAACAGAGAGGAAGAATAAATCTGACAGATGCCACTGATATCTCTCCTTACCAAAAACTGCGACTGGTAGTTATTCTATTCTATGCATGCAATGACACAGTATCCTTGAAAGAAAAAGGACTGTCTTGGAAAGCTCAGGGTTTGCGCTCAACATAGCTACAGCCAGAGCACAGAACTACACAGGACTGTTAATAATCCCAAGAGCCAGGGCTTCCCTGGTGGCACAGTCGATGGGAGTCTGCCTGCCAATGCAGGGACACAAGTTCGACCCCTGGTCCGGGAGGATCTACATGCTGCGGAGCACCTAAACCCACACATCACAGCTACTTAGCCTGTGCTCTAGAGCCTGGGAGCTGCAGCTATGGAGCCCATGCACCCTAGAGCCTGTACTTTACAACAAGAGAAGGCACTGCAACAAGAAACATTCACACCGCAACAAAGAGTAAATCCCGCTCGCCGCAACAAGAGACAGCCTGTGCAAAGCAATGAAGACCCAGCATAGCCAAAATAAATGAATAAAGAAGGAGTGAAAGAGAATTCCAAGAGCCACCACCCCTCCCCATTCCCTGGAAGGCCCTGCTCTTGGAAACACAACCTCCAGTTTGTTTCCCATGACACTTATACCTGGGACAGCAGAACACACTTGTGGGGGGTAGGATATTGTAGCTTGCTATGACACAAGTCAGGTGAGCAAGCACACCCAGGGGATCAGGGGCACGGGGAGCGGTCAGATCTCACTGCATCGGAACATCTTCTAGCTCCCAGCTTTCAGTGACCACCAGCCTCTCCCAGGAACAGATGTGCTGAGCTCTCAACACAGAGGCTCCCTCAGCAGACAGAGCTGCTCTTCCTTCCCCAGAAAGCCCCTCTGTCCTCTGACCTCAGATCACAGGAATGTAATCCTCCACAGGTCTCGGCCAGGGCAGCCCACCCCGCCCCCATGAGTCACTCTCACAGGCCGCCCCTCCCCCACCCCGGGATGTAGACTCGGGGATGCAGATAGGAGGCACTGGGGAGGATGGAGTGGCTTCCCAGGGGGCTTCCCAGTGGTAAAGAACCTGCCTGCCAATGCAGGAGACATTAGAGACGTGGGTTCTGTCCCTGGGTTGGGACGATCCCCTGGAGAAGTGCATGGCAACCCACTCCAATATTCTTGCCTGGAGAATCCCATGGACAGAGGAGCCTGGTGGGCTGCAGTCCATGGGGTCACAAAGAGTCAGACTCGACTGAAGTGGCTTAGCACGCACATGCACACAGGGACAACCCACTCTAGGCCTGATGGTGGGTGACTGGAGTTACAGGACAGGCACCGGCCAAGCAGGAAGCTTGCTTGAGAAAGAGGCATCTAGGCTGATGGCTGGGTAACATTGAGCTGAACTGATTCAACTGAAAATGAGACGTCCTCCTTGCTCTCCTCCAGCCAAGGAGCACACCAGGCTTGGGAGGGATTCTGCCCGCTCTGTGAGACCGTCCACCTCAATTATGCATTCTGGAACCAGGGAAATAACCACAGCGTGGGTTCGGGGACCCACCGAGCCCACTGTGATATGGGCCTGCGCCAAACCTCCACTGATCACCTGACATCCACACTCTGACTGTGGGCCGCAGGGATGTTTGGGCCCCTGGAACCAGGGTCCGTTCAGAGCCTGTGTCCAGTGGTTCCTGACAGTTGTGATCATTTCCTTTTCTCCAGTGTACAATACAGTGACCTTGGTAAAAGGTCATAGGTCCCGTTGGGTAAATGACTAACAGGGTACACTTCTGGCTGTGTGCCACAGTCCGTCTTCAAGGAGACCTGGCCTCCTCTTCATTCAAGGGCTTATAGGTCTGTAAACTTTCTCAAGTCTGGACATTGAGGGGCTGGACCTGTTTTTATGATTCAGATCAGATTTTTGTTCTCTTAACCTAGAAATTTTCTTCTTTTGCAGATTGAATAAAAACCAAATAGGCTTCCTATTTCATTTCTGGGAACACCAGGAGACAGCCTGCTGGATCAACTGGTTAACCCCACAAGTCTGCAGGGGCCAGTCTATTCTGATTGCTGCTTCGACTTTGCTGGCCACTCAGTAGCCATGCCCACCCATCTTGCCTTTGGCCTTGAGTGCTGTCACCAGGTCCCTGCCACCCGGGATCTAATCACCCCCACTGCCTTTAGGTTTCCTGACCTGCAAGGACTGCAGCCCCCACCCTGAGGTCTGGCTTAGAGAAGAACCCTCAGGGAGCCCTTAAGAACCGGGGTGGGGGGGGCTTCCCTGGGGGTCCAGTGGTTAAGAATCCTCCTTGCAATGCAGGGGACATGGTTTGATCCCTGGTCAGGGGACCTAAGACCCCCCAAGCTGAGGAGCAACTGAGCCTTCAAGCACTGGAGAGAGTGTGCCACAACTAGAGAGCTTGCGCACCGTAATGAAAGATCTCGCATGCCACAGCCAAGACCTATGCAGACAAATAAATAAATAAAAGAATCAGAGAGGGAGTCAGGACTTCCCTTATAAATTTATTCCTCTCTGTCATCGTGAAACATCTGTCTTCTGGACCCATTTGTCTTAGATGACAAATCCATGACAACATTCTAGTCTCCCCAGGCTTCTGAATCCATTTCTCTACATGAAACCAAGGGGACTCAGCATTTTTAATTTGGTCTGGCGGGCCTCCTTTTGGTCCCTGTTTCAGCCAGCTCACCAAAGCCTTACAGTCCTAACTCCTGAGATGCAACATGAATGCAGTCTCTGTTCAATAATCATGTATCAATAAATCAATACCAATAATGGGATCTTGCTTTAAGAAAAAGAAAATGACTACACAATATTCCTGGCCTGGGAGATGGGGCCCTGTGGCTTCAGTCTTATCAATTTCCAGGTACATGGACCACTTCCCAGTCTGTGAGAGGGTCATCTGCAACCCAGCTGCCAAACGGACCTGAGGTCAGAGATCCCCCTTCAACAGCCAGAAGATGACTCTGGTCCACCCGCAGTTGAGGAGGAGGTTTTCAAAAGCCCTCTGAACAAGCCACGTGTTGCCTGGCCTCAGGCACCCTGTCCTGCTACAGAGCAGGGCTGATGGCAGCCTTCCTGCTCCCAGGACTGGGCGAAGACCTGTGCCAGGCTGGGGGCTCCAGTGGGGCCAGCAGGTAGGAAGCCTGTCAGGGGAAGGGATCTACTTTTCTTGGCTCCAATTGGAAGGAAAGGCTGAGAAGGTGTCTCCAGGGAAGGAGCCAGCCAGCTGGCGGGAAATTCTCCAAACTATTTAGAGAACGGGACCACCCTGCCTGCCCCCATCCCACCCTGTGCAAACAGGAAGATCTGGGCCATGTCTGGGGCAGCTGGGGCAGGAATCACCATCAGGCAGCTCGGCAGCCAGCACTCACCCTCACAGTGGACCAGAGGCTCTGACCGAAGGAGCCAGGCCGAGCCCAGGAAGGAACGAAGCCTGCACTGACCCCAGGGACTGGGGGGAGAGTTGGGGCAGGGACCCCTGTTTCCTGGCTGGAAGCCACCTCTCTCCTTGGCTTGAAAGGGAAGAGGTAGTAAGTCTGCACTCTTGAGGAGGGTTGACCCTGTTGCCGGAGACCTGGGGTGGATCCTGAGTCTGCCACTTCCTAGTTTTATCACCTTTCTCTGACTCCATTCCTTTAGCTGAAACATAGACCCCTTCCTAGGATTGTGACGCTTAAGCGGCTAAGAGGGCTTCCTTGGTGGCTCAGATCATAAAGAATCCACCTGCAATGCAGAAGACCCAGGTTTGATTCCTGAGTCAGGAAGAACCTCTAGAGAAAGGAACAGCTACCCCCTCCAGTATTCTTGCCATTGGGTCACAAAGAGCTGGACATGACTGAGCAACTAACACTTAAGAGACTAAGAACAGAGCCACCTGGCATGTAGTCAGTGCTCAGTAAAGCAGATTATTATCCTTATTAGAGGAGATAAGAAGACCCCATGACCAGTCAATACACCAGCCTGTCACGGACTGAAAACCCTTCACCGGACACCTGTCCCCAAATTACTCTAAGTCCCCTTTCCCTGCCTGGGGAGATATTAACTTTGGAAACCATGACAGCATCGCAAGATTTACTCAGGATGAATGTAACTGAATCCACGAGATCTGTTTCTCATTTTCCTAACAGTTGCAGATTTCTCATGATAATCACTTCGAGGGGGCAGAGGACAGAGGTGGCCCCGGCCACTGCATTCTATGTCTGCGTCTCCATTGTGGCGCCGCAGATAGGTTCGTCAGCACCGCCTTTCTAGACTGAATATATATGGGTGAATATCCGATACGAGGTCAATGCAGGCCTCCCCAGTGGCTCAGTGATAAAGAATCTGCCTGCAATGCGGGAGACACAGGTTTGATCCCTGGGTCAGGAAGATCCCCTGGAGGAGGGCATGGCAACCCACGCCAGTATTCTTGCCTGGAGAATCCCATGGACAGAGGAGCCTGGCGCGCGCAGCCTGTGGCGTCGCAGAGTCTACTAAGAACGCACACATGCGCACTGAGCCAGCGCAGAGCTGACTGAGGACCAGCTGGGGCCGGAGTCCCGCCGCGCAGAGTCCCCGCCCAGACTGCTTACTTGTACACTTTGGTGTTGTAGGTCTTCTCCCCAGGGAAGCCGAACATGCCGCAGACCACGCGGGAGTTCTTAGCCGTCCAGTGCTTGTCACAGATCTGCTTCCACGTCTTGCCCTCTTTTACCTCCACGTAGCCCTCTGTCACCGGGGTGCGCTTGCGGAAGGCGGAGAGGATGGCTCGGATCCGGATGTCCTCCACTTGGATGTTCATGTTCTGGGAGGGGAGGGGGTGGAAGGAGATGGGTGACTTTCCTGGTCTGGCCCTGGGGAGGTGATGGCAGACTGGGCTTATCCTGAGAGTCTGCCCACCTCTCCCCTCGGGCTCTTGGGGGGCTGTGGGTGCTCCCTAAGAGCACACAGCACATGCAGTGGGGCTGCAGGAGCCAGAAGAGAAGGAGCAGGGTGACCCAGGCAATCAGAGACTTAGGGCAGCCCAGCGCTCCTCCTCTATCCTATCAAAAACACCAGAGGGCAGCAGCCTCCTCATGCAGGGGTCTCAAAGAGCAGAGGAGAGAATCGCATTCCTTGAATGCTGTATTCTAGAGGCAAAATCATTCGCATGGTTGTATTTTACTTCAAAGCATCTGTGTGCAGGCCTGGGAGTGAGTGTGTGTGTGTGCCTTCCCAACAATCTGCCTGTAAAACTGAAATTTTGGGCAGATGAGCCCCAGATACCCTGAGCTGGTGGGACCACGTTGCACACCGCCTCATGTACTCCCCTCATGTCAGCAGTCTTCAGGGTGAAAAGCCAGAAGGGAAAGGGGAAGGTTTGGAGAGAAGGGGGAGGAAAGGAGGTGTGTGCCTGGACCCAGGCCAGCCAAGCAGAAGGGGCAAGCCTGGGGCCCAGGACGTAGGGATGCACACAGTCATGCAACTATGCCAAGGAAAGGAAAGGAAAGATTCTGAATATCTTGAGGCCCTTGTCTTGAAAGCCCCTGTTCACCCATCTCCTCTCCCCATTTCTGTGGCAGTGAGTGAAAAGGCAGGAGCCTGCTAGGAAGATGTGGAGAAGGCTGGGGTTGAAGGTGGGCTCCTCTCCCAGCCCCTGACACTGGGCTGCTCTGTCCCTGCCCCTAGCCCACACTCTCAACAGGCCAAGCTGGATGGAGGAACAGGGGCCTACCTGGAATTTTCCAGGATGATATGTTTTATGTTTCTCCAAGGTTCTCACAAATCTGCCCCAAACCCTAAGGATGCTCCAGAATCTCTCACTTCCAGCCCGTCTTCTTTCTGCCCCTGCCCAAGGGTCCACCACCAGCTCTCACAAGGCTCCCCAGCTGAGTCCCTGCCTCCCTGCTCTCCTCCATCCATCTGACACAGGGCCAGCCCCCAGAAGACTCCTTATAAACCACAACTAACCTTGTCCCTTGGCTGACTGCACCTATACCTCAGCCCCAAATCTACAGCCAGCTAGGATGATGCTGGGAAAGATTGAAGGTGGAGAAGAAGGGGACAACAGAGGATGAGATGGTTGGGTGGTTATCATTGACTCAATAAACATGGGTTTGAACAAGATCCAGGAGATAGTGAAGGATAGGGAAGCCTGGCATGCTGCAGCCTGGTCACAAAGAGTCAGACACGACTGAGTGACTGCTCAACAGCAATAATAGGACAATAACAAGTACCACTACTTTCTGGGCATTTTCTCACTTAATCCTCAAACAATAGAGGTCTTTATAGTTAGTGTCATCTCCATTTTCCAGATAAGAATACTGGGTGACTCCAGTGATCTCCCAGGACCACAGAGAGGCAGAGAGCACCTGAGGTTTGGTGTGTGATGCTCTCTGAACCACGCCACAGGGGACTGGGCAGGGATGCTGGCAAAGAGGAACCCAACGATTTGGGTGCCCACACCCCAGTCCAGCCAGGATGCAAATGAACTGGGAGTTTGAACAGAACCATTATTTGGGTGCCCAGGGACTCAGCTCTCCTTGCCACTGGCTTCAGGGTGCAAAGCCAGGCCCCATTTCCCCAGTCCTGCGAGGTGGTGGAAAGTATGTTGGCCGGGGTGGTGGTGGGGGGGGGGAGGGTGGCATCTAGCCCTGATTCCTTTCCATGCAGAGCGGAAGGAAAGCCGCCAGTGGCAGGATTATGTTTGCCAGCCTGGATCCTTGGATCCATTACAGCTCCCAGTCAGGCCACAGGGCTCGCGCCACCAAGACACATGGACAGGAGTGAGCAAGAAAGGGCTGGAGGTCTAGACTGGCTCATGGGCCAGCCCTCTCCTCCGACTTACCACCTCGGGAGGCCAGGCTGGAATTCCAGCGTGTAAGGAATGTGTCATGCCCAGAAGGAAGTTACCCACTGTGGCATTGGCCCTGACAGCTGCAAGGGGCAGGCAGGCTGGGTAGACTTGATTAAATTCACAGATCCTCCCCCTCCCCCCAGCCCCCTGCCCCCTTTCCCTCCTCTCGGCCCATGGAGCAACTGGTGGGCAAGCCAGCTAGGGTCCCAGAGGCAGGAAATGAGGCTCAGAGGAGAGAAAGTGCTAGAACTGATGTCACTGTTCTTGTATTCCCACTGACTCACTGCATGTGTGTGTGTGGGCACTAGTGTGTATGTTTGGTGTCACGAATATGTCTCTCTGGATGTGTGTCTCTGCACGCGTTTGTGCATCCACGTATGTGTCTCTAGGGGAGCTCATGTTCCTGTGTGTCCATGTGCAGGAGGATGTGCACATGTCTGTGTGTTGTGTGGAGTGTGTGTCTGTGCACACAGTACGAAGATGCAGAGGGTTTCCCTGCAAAGCCCTGGGAGAGCAGTCAGGCAAGTTCCTTCTCCTCTTCTCTCTCCACAGAACTAATTCCTTTCCACCATCTTGGGCTCAAATCCACCCCAGTCATTCATTCATCCATCCCATAAAATACAGTCGCTCCCTCCGAGGACCCTGGCAGCCTCCTCCCCACTGCCCAACCCTGGGGCCCTGGTTCTTCTCTGAATCATAACGATTATGTGAGCCCTCATTCATCAAATGCCAGCCAATTCATTACGTGTCAGGCTCTGCACTCAGAACTTTACATCCATCCCCTTCCTCAGTTCCCATAACAACCAGTGAGAGGACTAGTGGTATACCCTGGCTGGCTACAGGTGAAAAGCAAGAAAACTTAGTGAGGTTTGGCATCTTCTCCAAATTCACACAGCTAGTAAGTAGATAAACAAGGGTGAAAACTGAGTTCTGACTCTAAGTCCATGCCCCAGGCTCACCACAGTGGGCCTCTGGGTCTTCATCCTTCTGCCTTCATCCCATCCCTTGCCAGCTACTGAGATGACATGCCTGGGCCTGGGACTCGGCCTTCTGAGGCATCCTTTGGGGGTCCGCCAGATAAAAGCCCACATTTGAAGTCCTCCCTGTGCCCTGCCCAGAGAAGCTATGAGTCAGGCCGGAGTGTACGTGAGATGAGAGGGCTGCCTCCCAGCTGCCCTTGGACTCAGGCCAGGGGGCAGCAGGGAAACCCTCAGTGGCACGCAGTCAGGGCTCGCTGCTGGCTAATGAGCTCACAGGGGCTGTTCAGAGAGCTCTGTGTAGGAAAACACACGTACACACAGAACGGCCCTCCTGACCTCACTGCCTTGGAATCCTTTCCATAACCGCAAGCATTAGAAATTTTTTTCCCCCAGAAGTTCAACTTCAAAAGAGCAGTGAAGATTTGAAACACTAAAACCTATACACATTTTTCTTTTCTAACAGAAGTCTCTTTAGACTGGCCTGTTTCACATTTAACCCAAGAGCCCAGAAGCCGTCAATATATCTGGCCCCTTTTAAAACTCGCAAGTCTGAAGGCTGGCCCTCCGGCCAGAGACTGGAGTTCACCAAACTCTCCAAAAGGCTTCCCTCCAAGGAATTCACAGAACCTTCTGGACTTGCCCTACTCAAAACTCAGCACATCTCCAGGGAGGGTCTGAGCCCTGGGAGTGACTATCACTGGCTTCCAAAGGGGAAAATCAGGGTGCCCTGAGGCCATAACCTGCCCTGCTGTACCTAGTGGGGTGGTGGAAAGAAGGACTAGTGAATGATCACCAGGGCTGGTCTCCCAGTCTTGTGTTGAATGACATTTCACATTTGCAGCATCTGTGAATGACTTGCAGATTCCACAATGTGACAGTCTGGGGCTATTGCCAAGGAGGAAAAATCACCAGTTTTGAAAGTCTAGTTGGGGATTGCATCAGGGAAAGATTCAGGGGGAGACAAGGCAAGCAACCCTCTAAGGACGCACTGCACTGCTGAAAGTTGGCACTCGGCTCATCGCCTCCTGTGGAGGGCATGTTTCCAAAAGCCAGATCTTAGTCCAATTCTTCCCCTTCCTCCTTCTAGAAGTTATCATTTAATCATGCAATTAATTACTTAATGTATCAGACCAAGCCTTCCCACCTGAGAAGTCATCTGTGGAGTGGTGTCAGGTGGGAGGATGGAGAGGTAGTGGTCCCCCATCACCCCACCAGAACAGACGACTGGTTCGTTCTGCACAACTGCTGCTCACTTAGTAAGCCCCTTCCCTCTACAGCTAACAAGTTCCTGCATCTTGCTCTCAAAGCCCTTTATTTATTCGGCTATTTTCTAAATTATCTATTTATTTAATTTTTGGCTGCACTGGTTTTCACTGCTGCTTGGGCGTTTCTCTAGTTGCCGGGAGTGGGGCTACTCTGTAGTTAGGGAGTTCGGGCTTCTCACAGCAGTGGCGTCTCTCGGTAAGGAGCATGGGCTCTAGAGAGTGGGGCCTCAGCAGCTGCAGCAGCAGGACTCAGAAGCTGCGGCTCCTGGGCTCGAGAGCACAGGCTCACCGCTGTGGTGCATGGGCTTAGTTGCTCTGCGGCATGTGGGATCTTCCCAGACCAGGGATCTGTCTCCTGCACTGGCAGGCAGATTCTTTACCACTGAGCCTCCAGGGAAGCCCCTATGCAGCTATTGTTAAAAAATGGGCTTCCAGATAGAGATCCATTTTCCCAGGGGCCACCTTGGCAACTTCGTCAGCACCTCACACCAAACGCACCCAGGATGCCCTTGGTCTTCCCTCTTCTCACTGAGCGAGGAAATGCCCCCCCAGTTTGCAGCCCGCGAGCCTCTTGCTCCCTCTCTCTTCCTTGCTCTTACGGCTCATTCTGCCCCAGGCATGCTTTTGCTACCCTTCCATCTCCTTCCCATTTGTATGGTCCAGGCAGGTGTGCAGTGAGAATTGTGGAAGTAAGAGAAGAACATCACAATTCTGTTTCTTCAGG